GCAATTTCGGCATTTCAGGTGATTTTGTGAAACTAGTTTCAGCAGTTTTGCATACACCGTTCTGCCGAAACCCCTAGTTTCGGCAAGCAACTTTATGTAATACAGATCTCATTTAAATAACTAAATATCGATAATCTTCTCATCAGTTCTTCTCTAATCATTTCTCTTAAAAAAAAAACTAAATAACCAATGTGACAATGTCAGCTTCCATATTTTATCCTTTAGATGTAGACTCTGACGAAAATTCTCACACCACACACTTCACATAATCATCTAAAACACGAAAAAAATGAAAAGCTAACATTGTATCTGATCGTAGTAACAAAAGTCACACCTCTTTTTTTTTCATATAGATGAAAATGATTCTGACCTTGTGTATTATAAAATATGTGAATATGACCTTTCTGGATCTTATAGGAAGCCCTATACATATACTCGTAAAGGTGGAAACACATCAAGTATAATAGCCTACTTACGAGACAAACATCGTATAACCAAGGATAATTTTACCAATTATTTAGATGAATATAGAGAAGTATGATGACTATAATTGAAATTTTTATTTTATTTTGTATTTTATAACGTAACTATTAACTAATTCACTTAATTAATTTACTTATTAGCCAAAATGGGATTACATTCATCAAACACAAGTTACCGATTATTATAGTTCTTCAAAACCATGTCCAGCCAAAAGACAAGAATTATTAGTAAGAAAATTAATTCAATTTATTATTCATTTTGTTTTGCCTCTTTACATTTTACAAAACTGATTTTTTCGTGAATTTATTTACGCATGCGAGCTAGGATTTCATATCTCATGTAATAAAACTGCCAAGAGACTAATCCACGAAGCATATAAATAAAACTACAATCAGCTTAGCGTCTTACTTCATAGTAGTGTAATGAATATTCATCTTACTACTGATCTATGAACAGCAAAATCTTGTCATGGCTACTTAGGCGTTACAGCAACTTGGCTGACCTTCAATTTTGAGTTTTGAGAAGCCCTTCTTTCTTGTGATCATCTTCTATACCTAAATACAGGAAAGATGATTAGCAAAGAGTTATTTAGAATAATTGGTATTTGGCGATTTGAGACAATGGTTTTTACTATTGTCACTAACAATGGAGCTAATATGGTCAAGGGAATACGATTGTTAAATACAAATTATATTAGCAATGTAAAATGTTAACCTTGTGTCACGTACATGTTACAATTATCAGTTCAAAAAGGATTGAAGCAATGTAAAGCTATATATCGTCGTGTTAAAAGTTTGCAGGCTTTTTTCTGACTTCCTAAACAAGCTCAACATTTACACGAAGCGCAAAAAGCATAAAATGAATCCAATCAAGCTGAAGGAGATGTCCAAAGTCCTCTTGACCTTTTAACGGATGTAAAAATGAGGTGGAATTCCACCTATTTAACTTGGAAACGTCTCTTGAAATTACATAATTCAATAAGATTCATTTCAACTTCATTACTTTTCAAATCAGATCATGCCTTTCAAAAAGAAAGCAAAAAATTAGAACATCTGTGCTTATCGGTCAGAGAAAAGGAGTAATATTTTTTTTATTATTTAATTAGTTCTATTGGTTTAAAGTTTAAACAAGAAAAAAACATATATATATATTCATTTATTAATCAATTATCATTTTTATTTATTTACATTATAGATTTTTGCAAGAAGTTGTAAAGTTGTTAGAACTGATCAAAATCGTAACTAGACATTTGTGTGGTGCCAACTATCCAACACTTAATCTCGTTTACCTATACATGGAATCACTTAAAAAAAATTTGCTTCAAGATCAGACAAAAATAAAACAGTTGACACCTATTTGAAACTCGTCTATGGTAAAGGATATAAAGAAAATGATGATGTTAAAATAACTGATGATGATATACCTGATGCTAGCACCCGTTAATAATGGCAATATACACACTGCCAATTTCATCAAAGGATAAGTGCTTGTGGTCGAGAAAAGTGACGAACTCAACAGGAATCTAGCAGGAAATGAACACGGACTGAAAGTGTTGCGAAAGACACAAACAAGATGGAAGATTTACCACCGGTTAATACAACAAATTTACTTGAAAAAGTCTGAGCTGCAATATACTTGTCATTAGATAAATTATGAGCTATTCCAACAGATACTGCTTTGATTGCTACATTTCTTGATCTCTGATTTAAACATTTTAAGTGGTCAACTAATAGTGAACAAGATAGGGTGAATTAATTGGTAAAAAAGTTATATGATGAGCTGAAAATAAACCTTCGTGTTCCAGATGACATTGAATATAGGAGTTTTGAGGAGAACAATGATGATAATAATAATCTGTTTAGTAATCTAGAAGGAAATTTCATATAAACAAACACAGAAGAGGAAGATGAAGTGTCATGTTATGTAAAGTTACAGGATATTAGGGTTAAGGATGATCCTTTAATGTGGTGGTTAAATTATAGGGATAGTTTTCCTACCTTGGCGCAACTTGCAAGAAAATATCTTTCAATTCCAGCGACTTCAGTGTCCAGCGAACGATTGTTTTTGGATGCCAGTAACTATATTTTGGCAAAAAGAACACGTTTAGCACCTGATTTGGTGAACAAAGTTTTATTTTTAAAATGTAATAACACCCATTTCGAGATATTTCCACTACAAGAAAGTTAAAAAAGGAAATATTTTTATGAAATTTTTAATAATTTTGCTTACATTTAATATTCAAAATTCGAATAATTCAATAATTTCAATTAATAATAATATTAACAATTTAACATTTTTAGTAGATAGTAGTAAATACTAAATAGTAATAATAAATAATAGTAAATAATAGCGTTAATAATAAGTATTAAGTAATGTAATAAGTATTAATAGGAATAATAATTAAATAATAGCTTTAAAAAAGAGTATTTTATTTGTTTAATTAACAATGCAAGTGAATAAAAAAAATTATTATTTGTTAATCATCTTCACTTATTAATTATTATATATTAAACCCGATTAAATCTATTTAACCAGTTTAATTAAACTGGTTTATTAGTTTTAACCGGTTTTAATATATAATCGGTTTATAACCAATTTTAATTTCACGATATCAATAAAACCAGTTTGTAAAAATAAAGCCGGTTCCAACCTCTAGTTCTAAGGCCATCCAATTTAATCAGTATGCTAATTGATTCTGTTTCCCTGTTTCCCTTTTACCTAAGTTCTAGAATTATATATAGTATAACCATATAGTAGATTTAAAATTTTAATTTTTCCATTAAATTTTATTAATTCTTTATTAATATAATAACAACTCTCATCATGAAAAATAATATTAAAAATCTCTTCCTATCAGGAGTACTATTATTTCTCATTACTTCCCAAACTCATTTTGCCAAAAATTTAAATCTTTTCTTGTAATTCCTGTAAGCTTGCTAAACAATTGTTACATAAAAATTTTTAAAGTCATATTAATAATAATATTTAAAAATCAAGAATTCTCAAAATTGCTTTATTGATCTTTCTAAATTTCTTAAAAAATACTTCATTATAAATTAAAAAATCTAATTTATAGTGCTTTTGGCCAATATTTATTTTGCAGGTGATATACTCAATTTCATTAGGTGGTTATTTATGCAGATTACATACTGAATTTTAGTTATACATTTTACAGGATAGTGCAAAAAAATAAATCAATTTATTATATTGTATTATTTGTAAAATATTTTACAAAGTATTTTAAAAGCTTAGTTAAATAATTATATATAAATATAAAATATACTATACTATTTTAATAAAGAATTTATACTCCAAAAAATTTGACACATATACAGAATTCCACTTACTATTAAGATAAGTCACCTTATAGTTAAGATTACATATAAAACTCTTTAAAGATCCTACTATAAAAGGAAATTTTATGTTACATTGTTATGATTTTTTCCTTTTTAGTTAATTAACCAATAGAATTTAAGCAAATTCTAAGATAAGGTTTTATATGAAAGTAAAATTTCTACCAGTAACATATTTTAGTAGTAGGTGGGATCCTATATATACTCACAATTATTGTTTAAATCTAAGAAATCTATGTTAATTTCTTTTTCCATGATATAAAGATATTTAATTTTGAAATAGTGGATTTTTAGCAAATCACATGGATATAGTTTACCTGATATTTTATATATATATCATGCATATTCTGAACTTTTTATTGCCAAATTCATTAATATAGTAATATTCAGGATTCAATAGCCACTTTAATATATAAGTCCATCCTAAATATTCAACGATTCTATAGCCTTGGCAATGTACTAATTCTATAAAGCAACTATATATGATACAAGATTTAATCACTCACATAACTGATCTTTCTTCTTATTTACTTTAGCTAGTTGTTCTATAATCATTAGAAGCTTTTTTACCATGAAGATTTATACCTAAAAACTTCTTCTCGTCAGGAGTACCATCATTTCTCACTATATTCCAAACTCATTTTGCCCATATCTTGGGCCTCAATTTGTAAGTTCTCCAAGCCCGTTAGACAACTTTTGCACTATTGATTTAAACGATTTACATGCCTTTTCCTAATTTCATATTCATATGCATAACTATAATTAGCCAAGCCTTTATTAGTTTAGATTCGACTTAACACTGATTTAATGTTACACTACCACTAAATGCCCTTTCCCATATCTCTTTATTAATAATGGATTACATATAATCATTATTACCTTTTAAGTGATCGAGCTTTTTAACTTATTAAAGAAATGGTTTAAAAAAAAAAATATATATATATATATTTTCCTTATAATTTCAAATTCTTCCTAGCTAGATTTAAAAAGTTTTTGACCAGAATTAGATAAAGTGATGCGAGTTGGTTATCAATCAGCGCATCTGTTAATGCCGTCAGAACAGATGTAATTTACGGCTGCCATATAATGCGGGCCATAGTACTTTTAACATTGTAGTTAGTAAAAACTCAAAAAATTAAAAAAATAATCTCTTAAAATTTTAAATGTTTAAATTAGATAGATTTATTAAATTATAAATTATGTCAAATTATATATACCAAATTATGCTAAATTATTAAATTATTTTTAAGTGTATTTATATCAAATTATTTAAGCATATCAAATTATACAAAATCGCGTGTTTATAGGCCTAAAGTCAATAATTATCATTAATTTTGATAATATTCCAAATTGAATGTACAATTACCGTATATAACGACAATTTGTATAGGAAATATTATATTAACATAAAAATTTATCAATAGATTAAAAAAAGAAAAAAGAAAAGAAAAAGACTCATAATTAAACTATCTCAAAATAAATACTTGTAAAATAAGAAGTTCAGACGTAAAATTACTAGTTTATTAAGCGGTAGCAGTAGAACAGGCTATTACATTAGCAGTAGTTCCAATACCATCTGCAATTCCAACTACAATATAAGTTGTTCCCCTAAACCTTGGTACATAAACGTTCTGTGTGGTACTATATGGAGTTCCAGCTTTAACTGGACATGTAACTTCTTTACAAATATCCACTATATCACTACTTATGATATTTCCACCATCATCAACAAATGCAATATAAAGGCTGTAGCCATTAGTGATATCTTGCTTTAGTGTTCCGGAAATGGTAAACGTATCTGTTGATTCTTGAACAACAGGATCAGGTGAAAGCGTTACACTGAGTACGGGTGTATCTGGTGGAAGATTAGCGCATCCACTAAATGAAGTAGTTCTTTTATGAAGTTGATGTGGGATAGCATTGACTATGGAAACCATAATCAATAAAATGAGTGCAAAAACAAGACTTCGGCTCATCATTATTATGTTTTTATGAAAAATAAAATTGGCGAAGAATTTGAATTTATAAAATGTAATTATCGTAATTTCAGAGTGAATTGAAATCGGTACTTTTTTATAAGAAAAAAAAATATATCCCCGTTAATCAACTGGAATGGAAGATCTATTAAGATGATTTTCAATATTAGATTTCATTCAACTCTTTAGTCATATGCACATTAGAATAAGATGCGTTATATTATTATTTTTAGAATCAAAAAATTTTGTTAGCAAAGTCTGCATTTCACGCTCCTGTCCATACGATCTTATACTTTTTTAAAAAGTTTAATAATAAAATTTAAATAATGATGATAAAAATAAATGAAAAAATTTATTACGACACCCCAGTGAGTTCTCGCCCCCTTAAAATCATGACTTAGGTATAAGCAACTTTTACAAGAACCTCAAAGGTTCGAACATTATGCGAAATGTACCGTAACCGAACATTATTTTTGACATAATGCCATTTTTAGGTATAGAGAGTGAGGAATATCAAATCTCACTCATAAATTCACTCAAAATAAATTATTAAAAGTTCTTTTCAAACGGGACATTTCGCCGAAAGCCATTTCGCCGAAAAATAATCTCTGGCCTGAGTTATTTATAATTCTGCATAATGTTGGCCCTATTTTTCGGCGAAATGGCTTTCGGCGAAATGTACCGTAACCGTATATCTCCGGACTAAACCATTTCCTGTGCCACAAACTCGAATTACTTAATTAACCGGCAATGCATTTCTTCAGGTGATTATTTGCACATTCTATAGTATTTTCTCGGATAAATGCTAAGGAGTGCAATAAAAATAAAGTGAACGCCTCCCAGCTTTAAATTTCCCATCTTTATGTAATCTTTCAGTCATTTGGATAAATCCATTCTTCGAAATGTATTTTGGATTATATTCAAGAAGTTTCTTAAATGGATAACGAACACGAGAACACCACATTTCTGGTGTTTCACCACTATACCTATATTGCAGATTGTTTAACGCCTGCACTACTACAGGATTTATTCATTATTAAATGAGCCCCTAAGACACCATATGCAATTATATTAAGGGTCACTAAAGGCCTTTATTTAACAAGGTTATATATTATAATCCAGCTGTAAAATTTAAATATAAAAAACAAATAATAAAAAAAAAACATGAAAAATAAAAAAAAAAAATAAAATTTCAAACTGTGGTCAATCCACAAGAAACAGTCTTTGTTTTGATCTTTTGTCTTCTTCTATATACTGTATAGGGAATGTTAAAAAGTGAAACTAAGCAATTCAATCAAATGCTATTTAAAAATAAATTTCAAGTAATTTATTTCACAAGTTCAAGTAAATAAAAGGCTTGATAAATCATTTAATATGCCATTAAATTTTTAAATTGATTATTCATTTCAGAGTTTAATCTAAATAAAAGTTATCTTTCTGGTCCAATATGATTTATTGTAGTACTAGCAATTTTTGGAAAGTATTTAAAAACACATTAAGTTTAGAACATAATAATTTTCAAAAATAGTCTAATGGTTATTTGATTGGAATATGATTATATATTCTTATTAAAAAGGCTGAATGCTAGTAGAATTAAATAAACAATGTTAAAGAAGGGAATGCCAAAAAAAAATCATGTTAAAAATATTCAAGAAGGCATTAAAATTTTCTTTGTGTATATTCTATATAGGTTTCTTATATATCACATTTATATATTTTTTTTTTTTTTTTTTTTTTTTTTTTTTTTTTTTTTTTTTTTTTTTTTTTTTTTTTTTTTTTTTTTTTTTTTTTTTTTTTTTTTTTTTTTTTTTTTTTTTTTTTTTTTTTTTTTTNTGATTGATAAACAGAAAAAAAAAAAAATATTTTTTTTTTTTTTTTTTTTCCCCATTCCTTTTCCCATTCCTTTTCCTTTCAGAATTGATGAATTTGAATTCGTAATAATGTTAGTCATGTTATTATTAGATCTGCTATAACATTGTCAATAATATTTTTTGTCTTCTTATAAGCCCAACTATACCACCAGTTGTTACTAATCAATAAGCACATCTGATCATGAGCTTTTTTCCCCATTCTATAACACTTTGATAAAATAAAATTTTCATTCATTGAGTTTTCAGATTGTACTGTATCCAACTCAAATATAATATCATCCAGTACTACAGTTTGATCTTTCTGTGAAATTGGTAAATCATTCTTTTTTGCAGAATGTTTATCCTGTCTTGACTGTTTCCCTTGTTGGTGACAGGATTTTAAATAACGGTCCATATATTCAGATTTATTTAATTTGTCTTTTCTTTCAATATTTCTATCTTTTTCCCATGCAATAGTAGCATTACATCTTGGCAGCCAGATTAGTTCTTTAAAGTGAATAATAAAAGAATCCAGGAGTGAGGCCAGAAATAAAATGTTCTTTGACTCTAAAAATCCAAATAACTGTTTTGATACTTTGGAAAGATTAGTGTTAATTTTAGCTTCCAGGGCTAATAAGCAAAAGTCAATAAATTTGTTGTTGTCATATTGTGATCCTAGTATCTGTTTTAGTTTCTCCCTTATGGCTTTAGGTGTATTTTTTTCCATATTACTCCATTTTTGAATTATATGAATCACATCATCTTGCATACTGTTTTTAATTATAGGCCATAGATCCTTATTGGCATCACATTCAATAAAATGATATATGTCTTCTTCTTTGTTATCATTAAACCTGGGACAAACAAAATCTTTGTATATATTTGGTTTTCGCAGTATAAGAGTGGCACCTATAGGGAGAAGTTTAGCAAATAGTTTAATAATAAATATTAAATGCCAATGTTTTTTAACTGAAATACAATTAAACCCTTTATATCTGTGAATTAAGTTCCAAGTTATGTTCCAGGCAATTGGTATTTCATGTCCATTGGTTTTTAGCATTGACCATTCTGCTGCCACTCTGGTATTCATTAGAGTTTTGATAAATTTTCTTAAGTTGTATTCAATTGGAATCTGTTTAAAAATTGGAAAAAATCTAACTGTTCTATTACTATAGTTAAACCTGTTGTTAAAGTAACATCTGCTGTTACTTGTGTTCTTAGCTAAATCATCTACCATTTCATTCATAACATCTCCACTATGTCCCTTAACTTTCACTAATACTAGATCCATCTTTTTTTCTTGTAAAAGAATATCTATCTTGAGTAATATTAAAGAATTAGACTGCTTCAATAATTTTTTGCCCGATTTATTATATTGATTGTTTATCATGTATATGGCGCTTTGACTATCTGTGTAAATCTTGATTTTTGCATTCATAGGACCTGTGAGTAATGCTAGAAATATAGCCACTAATTCTGAACGTGTAGATGAAGGCCATAGTGATACATTTGCTTGGGCTGACAAAGCAGGTTCATTATTAACACAAAACGCCGCACCCATGTCTGTACACTAAATTAGGATCTTGTTTACCCATTGTTGTAGGGGTGCTTGGCTTGAGAGAACCATCTGTATAATATTCTACCATTGTTCTTTCTGCTAGTATATTTCTAATATTCATTAGTTGCGTTTTCAAGTTATCATCATCTATCCATCTGTGAATCCATATGTCTTGGACTATCGGTAGGCTAATTATGGGATTTGGAGCTAATGTTGATAACCTGTCATCAGGTATCGAGACATTAAATTGATGGGTTGATGACAGCCATTCACTAGAAAAACTCCAGCCGCACATATTAGATTCTTTATTTAATATTGCCACTTTACAGCAGTGAGCTGGTATAGATCGTCCCATGTCCTGCCAACCAATTGTTCCATTATCATTATATCCCGGACGATAATTCACTATAATCCCCTGTTCATGACGTCGTATCTTATTAATTTTGCCTAATGACCATACATCTGAATCTTCCTGAATAAAAATAACTTGTTTGCAGTGCGCGTCCGGTATGATATCCAGTAAAAAGGCCCAATGATCAACTTCGGCAATTTCCATATTATCAATTATTGTCATATTATCTATTCTGGATGTGCACAAATAAGCCACATCACGATACCATCTAGCTACCCTTCCTTGTACCGGGAGTAATGCTAATCTACGGTATTGCTTCCATGTCATAAGATGTATACCTCTAATAAATAATTGATCAATATAGAATATCGGGTAATGTGGGCTTTGGTTGATCCGGAATATATATTTTGTAAGCTGATACTGTTTAAAGAACTTTAATAACGGCTCTTTTCCTCCTGAAACATTCCAGGTTGTTCTATCAATCGGGTCCGTTGCCATAGATATATCGAGAACTTTAGCTATTACTAATGCATTAAATGAGATGTTTTTCCTAGTTTGAAGTTTTATCCAAGGCATTACGTGAAGATCAAAGTCAAAAATCGGATCTGTGATCAGTAATTTAAGCTGCGCGTCTCTGAGTCTGATATGTGTAGATATCGCTGCATGTGAATCACTATTCATTCTAATCGTTAAGTCCGTTATAGTATTGATACAAAATATTTTCCATGGATGGTCCAATCCGAGACACCCCTCATGAAATATCAGTGACGAAGGTGTGTTCTTAGGTAATTTCATCCAGTTTTTAAATAACTTCATTACTGGAGCGAATACGTGATTCCAATCTTGCTCTGTCAATGTCATGATTTGAGCTATATACATCAGTCTAGGTATTAATACTCTATTGATTAGGTAAATACATTGACCAGCTGGAACGAACTTCCTACAGACTGTGTCGCAAAAATTTTTAATTGTCACGGATAGGCATTGCATCCATCTTCTCCTATTCGGCTTGTTGGAGAACCAGACCCTGAGATACCTTATTTCGTCATCTGTGGCTTGAACTATGGAACGATCCCGACTTAATTCAATAGTTTGTTCTTGTCGTTCTAATGTCGGGTTGATGATTATCATTTTCGACTTCTTAGTGTTGATGTCGATATCATTAATCGAATAAAATTCGTTTGCTATATCTACTATCTTTTGCATCCTAAACTTTGAGGACTCTAGAAATACTGTATCATCTATATATGCACATACGGGAACCTGAAGCCTGTATTGCGTCCATGTTTTAGGATCATTAATATCAT